CCGCGCCTGCCCAGGGAGGTGGGGGAGTCCCCAGCCCTGGAGGGCTTCAGAACACGTGTGGAGGTGGCACCTGGGGACATGGTTTAGTGGCCATGGGTGTGTTGGGTTAATGGTTGGACTTGATGATCTCGGAGGTCTTTTCCAACCTTAATGATTCCATGATCCTCTGCCTGTGCTTCTGCTCCTACATCACCCCAGAGCCCCATGTCCCCCCCCTGGCCACCTCCATCCTGCCACCACACCCTGTGTCCACACAAGCAGTGTTGGAAATGCCCAAATAACGACATTTCCCTGGGGGGGCTGAGCCTGAGCATGTTGGGATGGTGATAAGTCCCTCTGTTAATCACTGCTGGTGCCCTGGGGGACTTTGGCCTCTTCCCAGGGGGGAAGGGATGGCCCTGCACCATCCCACCCTGGGTGAAGTGCAGCCAAGAACGGCTCCACAGGGTGCTGGAGCCTGGGGAAGGGTCCTCCACACCCAGGCATGTCTTGGTCATGGAGCAATGGAGACCATGGGGACCAGGGGGCAGATACCCCTGGGCTGATACCCCTGGGCTGGGGCTTTGGGCAGCCCAATGACGTTGCACAAGCCACCAGCAACGGTGAGGTGGCAGGATGTGACAGCAGAGCCCAGGGCAGCATCCCCCCTGCTGCAGCCCCACCTCACCCCACGGGCTGCTCCCGGCCATGGGGCTGCTTCTCTGCCCAGGTGGGACAGACCAGCTTGTCACCCCTGTGCCAAAATCAGCCAGAATATTGGGGTTACATCTCCAGCACGGAGAGAGGACAGAAAATCCAGGACCCTTGGGCTGTGGGGTGATGGCAGGAGGGGAGGAAAGGAAACCACCAGGGTTCAGAGGCTGCAGGCAAGCAGGAAGTGGTTTGTACCCACTGCTGGGGAGCAGATGAGCTCTCCAGCCCAAAGGGACAGTCCCAGGGCTCATGGCCCCAGAGCCCGGGTTTCACAGCATGAGAAGGCAAAGCAGAGGCAGCCCCAAGCTCGGAGATGCCCCAGGTGATGTTTCAGGGCAGGCAGGTCAAGCTGAGGCCAGAGTTAACACTGCACGGGGAAACTGAGGCAGGGAGAGGCTGAGGGACTGGGCTCAAGTCCCAGGGGAAACCTGTTTCAGCCGGGATTTGGAGCAGTTCATCTCTCCCCCGGGATGCTGGCAGGAGCTCTGGGTCCCACCCCGGCCTGGGAGCGTGGCTGGAGCACCCACGGGTGGCAGGGATCCTCGTCAGCTCTGCAGCACAAGCTGGGTGCTGGGGCAGAGGGGGTGACTGAACCACCCTCCAGCGAGCTGAAACCCATCCCTGAGGGGGCAAACCCCCCACTGGCAGGGAGGGCCAGAGAGCAGAAAGCAGTGACACCCTGGCACGGGGCGGGTGGCTGCCTGGCACCTCTGCGGTGCTGGCCAAAGCGTCGGAGCTGCCCAGGGACCTGCCGTTTTGGAAGCTGTTCCCACCTCCAGGCCCGTGGCCCTGGGGCTGGCAGCTCTGAGGGTTTAACCCCAGCACCCCGAGGTGCCAGGGCAGTGCCTCCCATGCCCATTCTGGGGGTCTGAGCCACCTCCAGCCCCAGCAGAGCTGGCACAGCACCACGCAAATCCAGGGCACGTGCCCTGGCACCCCCTGGCACTCAGCAGGGCGGAGGGATTTCACACGACCTGGCAGAGCAGGAGCTTTTGGTGCCATTGCTGCTTCCTAAGATACTTTGCCCCCTCCTCACCGAGCTCTGGCCCCCCCAGACCCCTCCACTGCTCACCCCTGGCTCAGTGCCCTTGCTGCAGGGAGCAGTGGAGACCAACAGTACATTTAAACCCCTTCCCATCCTCCCAGGCTGCAGGCAGGTGTTTGAGGAGCGGATGCCCCCCAAGACATCCCCCCAAGCTGGTGCTGAGCCAGGCAGCTGGGCTCCAAGCCTTTAGTTTAGCCCCACGAGCAGTGAGGGGACAGACCAACCCTGGTGCCCTGGGGCACATCCCCAGGCAGCCAGTGGCCTTGGGGACAGGCACGGCGTGTCCAGCTTGGCCTGTGGCACTGTGTTGGTGCCATGCCATG